ACTCGAGGCTATTAAGATTATGAAAATATATTGAGATAATGTCCGATGATGTTCCGTTTACTTGTAAACTGAAAGGGGGAAATTTATTTCGAGCGTCACGGCGTCTCGTCGTAGTTAGTTGGACATTTTAAAGCCGCGGAATTTTGAATACCCGCGGAAAGGACCTATTAGCGCTTAATGGTCTGCGATTAAACAGAAACATTTAAGGCCGCTTCGGAGCGTTACGGAAGTTTCGAATAATTCTGACTCGCTATAACTTCAAATCACTTAAAAAAAAGTTATAACTAAGACTCTGCGCCATTTTCTTTCAGATAACGCAATATAAAGGGTATATATGCTTTGTCTGAAACTAAGTAATTAGAATCGTTCTAATTCCATATTTTATTAATTTATCATTTGGGGGATTATTGCAAATATACTTCAAAGTGTCCAAGGTTTAAATAGGAAGAACACCGAACCAACCACACTTTTAATGCACGGAATTTTCGCAAACTAAAAGTTATTAATAGAAACAGTTATATTTACTTACTGCATCTAACATTTCGATATTTCCTCACCGAGTAGAACATTCGAATTTTTCATTGAAAACAACAAGGTTCGCCGTCTATTATTAAAAGTTGATTTGCCTCAGATTATAGATGTTACCTGCAAAGTCCGTTATGCAGTCATACCTAGGTTTGCCTAGGCAAAGTCCGCATTGCCGGCCACATTAGGCAAAGTCCGAAATTATCAGATATTTTGGACATTGTCCATACTGTGGTACGACAATCTTAGATTTGCAAATGTGTAGCAGGCAAACTCCAAAATAAGCTGATATCTCGATTGCAGGTGCTCGAAACTTGTCGCTACGTGTTCACTATTCGCGGCAGGGTGCGACTTCACTAATTCTCATTCTGTATTGCGTTATCTGATTTGTGACCAAGAAGACATATACAAGTATGAGTTATGAGAGTGAAATGAAGCCAAGATATTTGGAGAAATTAAAGAGTATGCAAAAATGAATAAATTCATTTTACATTCCAGCGATAGAGAAGCACGAATCATTAATTAAAGAAGTTGAAGGAGTCAAGAGAGCTGCGGAAAAAACAAATCTTCAATACCGATGCCTCAAACGTTACGATGTGTCACTTTTTGGGGGCATTAAAAAGTTAATTTTGCCATTGTCTGAGCAAGTTACTGAATTGAAATACTTTGTGCCCATTGAAGAATTGTTGAAGTGGTCATGCTGGAAGAGATATTATGATTAAAACAATAAACAATAAATAAGTTAACGTAATTCGAGAATGCATTACACTTTACTTAGAGCTATGTGAAGAAAAAAGAAGAAAAAGCATCCAAAAAAAGGGAATAACCGTAAAACCGCTGCTATTCGAGAAGACAAGTCGATCTTAGAGATATGCAGACTTGCCCTGAGGGTGATTTCAAATATATCCTTAATTACCAAGATCATCTTTCGAAATATCTAGTTTTATGGCCACTAAAAAAAAACGAAAACAGCAGAAGAGGTTCGCTTATTGTTTAATATAGATTTTTTGCATTATGGGAACTCCTGCGTTGCAGTCCGATAACGGAAGTGAATTTGAAAATTGCATTGTTGAAGAGCTGAAAGTGATGTAGCCACAACTGGGTATAGTCCAGGCAAAACCACGTCATTCCCTAAAGCCAGGGAAGTGTGGAGCGGTCTAACCAAGATGATGAAAACATATTGTTCGCCTGGATCGAAGATAATAAAATCAAGCATTGAGGTGAACGTCTCCGTTTTTGTCAGTTACAGAAAAACAATGTACATCGCAGTAATCCGACAAACTACTTTTGAAGTAATGCTTGGTGAGTAACTGTTATATATTTACTATTTTTGAAAAATATAAAATGTGTTCAAAATTGGGCACTTTTGGGGGGTTTAAGGTACTTCCAGGAGGGATAGGCACTGTTTAGTAAAATTTGTTATTAATTTAACAAATACTATCCAAGAAATTACTTATTCCACAACCAAACTTACCCATAGTGAAATAGTATATTAATAAACGAGTGAGATAAAGACTTTACCAAACGTGTTGCATACTTTTTCTACGACTGTCACGAAAAAATCACAATTTAACAAATTAAAATTAATAACAGATTATCCGATTACTAAATTTCGGACCAATCAAACAAAATAATTACTAGTTGCCATTAAACCAATTCGTTTATCGTCCCGAACGGCTCTGCTATTCTTGTCTCTTTTTAATTCTGCACGTTAGACAGAGAGAGATATACTATTTGATATGTCATATAAACAACGGAATAAACACAATTTTAAAGCGTTATGTTGTATATTTCACTTTTACAATTGATCATTACGTAGTTTATTTAAAGAAAAAACTGTAATTGGAAGAAAAATCATCATGATAGAGCTTTTAAGAGGATTAAATTTTCGAGGTCGTATAAGCAAGAAAAAGCAGATCATTTTGTTGTGTTTACTGGTGATGATTACTGATGAGACATGGATATATGAAAATCGTACTGACATGACCGTCAGAATTGGCAAACGTCAAAATTGGCATCCGGTTGCTCCCAAACCCGTGCGGTAAAATCCTGGAAATGTCCGAAGTGGCTCGGAAAAATGTATTTAGTTGTGTTGAATTATATATATATATACATATATATATATATATATATATATATATATATATATATATATATATATATATATATATATATATATATATATATATATATATATATATATATATATAAGTGTTTTCGGAGCGCGAGCATTGAAGATGCCAAGTGAGATTTTGGCGAAACGTCTGCAGGATTCCAGTCGGATGCAGGATTCCAGTCGGAGTTCAACGAGCGAACGGATGATATCCCGGAATATAGTGTCATCACATTTTTCCATCCGTGGATCAATACGTGAGAATATATATATATATATATATATATATATATATATATATATATATATATATATATCTACTAAAAGGTCTAAAAAACACAGTCATCATTTTTATACGTTAACATGTCCCTTGAACTACCCAATGAATGCGACCATATCCCGCAAGTATACATTACGGATAAATGTCTCTTTTTGTAGGAATATGCGCAATAATACACTTTTACGTCGCATCAAACAACGCTACGGGCTCGTAAGGCATTGACAACTCCACAAAGAAGTACTTAACGGGCCTAATAAGGGTCTCATAAAAGTTCAATAACAAAAAAGAGCAACGTTCCTTCAGCGACCAAAATGGAGCGAACACAATACCGAGTACAAAGGGCCAAAGCCCTATCTTGTGACATAAGAGGTAAACAATGGCAACAGTTCTTTCTTTGAGCGTGTACACGACGAGAAGCCGCCGACGTTCGTACCGATGCACGAGCCTATACCAGAGAGGTGTATCATTCGAGACGATCTGCACCAATATTTCCATTACCATATAGCCGTCGAACTATTTGGCAATAGCGCCATTTTTAACGGTACCTAATTGTATTATAATAAACAAGTAACTAAAACCGGGAAACTGAAGAAAACTTTTCAATTCAAAAAAAAATTGTCTGGTGCAGAAGATCTATGAAAGACTGGTACTATGCACTCGTATCTATTACGATTTGAAAAGGAGAAATGCTACGTCGGCTAAGTCTCTCGAGGCAAAAAGAAAGATTATCCCTTCATATGATCTCGGACAAACTTAACCATTGAAATGCTTTTTACATTAAGCTTCTTTAAGTACCTACACTCCAGATTGCTACGGCTCACGTTACTTTTTTTAATCTGTTATTTAATATCCACCCAGGTATCACGACGTCGATAATATAAGATACCGACAATATGTTATAGAAATATTTATAGTATCACGCTGAATGACATTATATACACCAAGTAATAATTAAAATACTATTAGAATTGATTGGATAGCGAATTTTATTAAACAAGATCCGTGGTTGTTTATCTATTACACCCAGTAAATTTTATTATAACAAAATATTTTTTTAATTGGCAATTGAAACAAAACTGAAACTTTGATTCCAACTATTTTTGAGACTCCGAATGGAAATTCTATTACACAATTACACTAGAAATGGAATAGATATACAATATACAAAAAACAATGGACCGGTTATGTTTTAAGGTATTATTTAGTGATTGGAAGACATAAAGCCTAGTTCAACTATGTCAAACCTCACTTACGAAGTGAAAAACCGGACGCTCAAGTAAGGAGACGTTTTCCTCACAGATTGCGTCGAAACCAATAAAAGTGCTGCATCTATGGCGACCACCGGAAGACGAAGATAACGATCGGTGTTGGTACATATCTCAGCATATTCCATGTAGGCGGAAGTAACTTGCACAAATATATTTACGAAGGGCCAAACAACAGCACAAACACCAGAAATGTCACCGAGGCCTAGGGCTAAACTAAAAAGTAAACCTGTTGGTTATCTTTTGCTCCGTGAGATATGCAATCGAAGTCTGATGAACAGAGATGAACTGACTATACGAATTCCGTGAGCCGATATTTAAAACAATATTAAAGGAAGCACCGTGGAATCTGGAAACCTGAAAGCCCACAACGAAGGCTGAACTTAACTGAGAACTTTGCAACAATGCACCGACTGGATATGACGGACGTACAGCTAGCCAACATCCACATACTTCCACATATTAGTACTGCAATATGGGAAATTCGCAAATAAAACCGCTGCGCGACTCAACGAAATTGTCACTTCTCTGAGCAGCTATAAAAACCCCAGGCAATCTTATTAACCATAAAAACACAATTTAAAGCGATCCTGCCCAATTTAATCGAGTAAATATTAGGTGGAATTGGTAAATGCTCTGTGACAAGTAAAGTATCCGCCGATTCCGCTCGCCCTACTATTCCAACCGAGGGAGGCAGGGCTCCCACGGTCCCGCCTCCTCGAAACGAAACACCTCCCCCAGCTGTCCGTACCTGTTCGACCGCTTCTAGTCGGGTAATCGTAAACGAGCCGACGGCGGGCATCAGCGCACCAAAACCATGTTGGTTCCGGCCGACATGCTGACCGCTCAGTCGAAAATGCTCTATCAAATTAACAAGTATTACGGCGAGCGGGTGCAAAATCGCATGGGCAGCATAGCGAAAACGATACGCGAAGTGTGTAAGGTTGTGCAGGATGTATTGAAGGAAGTGGAGGTGCAGGAGCCGCGGTTTATATCGTCTCTGACCGAGTGCAACGGGAGATACGAGGGTTTGGAGGTGATCTCGCCTATCGAGTTCGAAGTGGTGCTCTACCTCAATCAAATGGGTGTATTTAATTTCGTGGACGACGGTACGTTGCCCGGTTGTGCTGTGCTGAAGCTGAGCGACGGCAGGAAGAGGTCGATGTCGCTTTGGGTGGAGTTTATCACGGCATCGGGATACCTGTCCGCTCGGAAGATTCGATCCAGGTTTCAGACGCTAGTCGCGCAAGCGTGCGACAAATGTTCCTACAGGGATTCGGTCAAGATGATCGCCGACACCACGGAAGTTAAGCTTCGCATTCGTGACAGGTTTATAGTGCAAATTACACCCGCGTTCAAGTGCTCCGGGGTATGGCCGAGGTCGGCGGCTCATTGGCCGTTACCCCATATCCCATGGCCTCACCCCAGCCTCGTCGCCGAAGTGAAAACGGAAGGTTTCGATCTCTTGAGCAAGGAAAGCATTGCCGCGCAAGGCAAGCAATCGGCAATGGAAGGAGACGCATGGGTCCTGTCGTTTTTAGAGGCGGAAAATAGGCTCCTCCAAGGAGGCTGCCGGAGACGGTGTTTGAGTATACTCAAAACGTTGCGGGACAGACATTTGGACTTGCCGGGTAATCCCGTCAGCAGTTACCATTTGAAAACGCTATTGCTATACGAGTGCGAAAAACATCCCAGGGAATCGGAATGGGACGAGTCATGTATAGCTGACCGAATCAACGGTATTTACCTGCAACTGATATCGTGTTTGCAATGCCGCAGGTGTCCGCACTATTTCATACCGAATTTGGACTTATTTAGGGGTAAATCGCCGAGTGCGTTGGAAAACGCGGCCAAACAAGTGTGGAGGTTAACCAGGGAACTATTAACGAACAGTCGATGTCTAGAAAAACTTTAGAGCAAATTAAATGAACCAACGTGAATAAATTAGATCAGTAATTATGCCGTACTATATAACGCGTTTGCTTATTTAAACAAATTAGTGGTCATTGTACATAGTAATGTGAGATATTTTCCCGCTATAAAGAGGCTGAAACGTTCCGAACGTGTTAAAGTTCTATAAGACTGTGTTACTATTGTATGTATATGTTGTTATGCCGATTTATTTATAATGTAACGATTATCGTTTATTTATTTATATACAAATAAATGTTTTACGCTGCCGGAGAAAGTTATTTTATGTGGAAGATGGTTTACAAATTGCCGAATGAAACATTTTATGCAGACAATTGCGTACCTACGTCTGTGTGTCTGTAGGTACATAAATTAAAATTGAAATACTACATACAACCCGCACTTTGGCTTTGAAAAAAAATCCCCGGTTTGCAATAAATAATAATTTTTGTTACATAAGTATCAGCCAAATCTTTAAAAAATAAGGTATTTTTAAAAATAAAATTAAATAGCCCCAGATTTTTCGGTACAATTTTTTTTACGAAATGAAATTAATTGGTAGACCCAATTTCCACGGAAAAACCGCAAATCTAAATTTGTGTTCAATTTTTTTCGGTGGCGAGGGTGAAAGCAAATTGCGATTTCCATTGGTGCCAAACTAGTGTCACACCGCTCCGTATTTCCCATTTTCCTTTTCGTTAACTTTCAAAGTAGTAACCATTTTGACGACTGTACTATTGTATTAATTTAAAATCTAGGCATATTTACTAAGACCTTTTAAGCCTTTCGAAATGAAAACCTATTTTGCGCCTATATTAGACGAGTTTAAATTAAAATCACAACTATCAATGATTTGGTGATCAGTACCTATATTTTTTTGTTCTATATGCACAGCCAACAGTATTCAAAATTTAATATTCCAATACTACGTAACAAAACAACTTAGATATACAGCTTCATTGTGGCTATGTAATATATAAAACTTCAATAACCAATATTGTCAATTGCAAAAATTATGACGTGTATTATTTCTTAAATTTCCTAAATAAAAAAAAAATTGATAAACGATTTCCAAGGCATACCAAGCAAAGTGACGTCATGACGAATACACTGATCGCTGATTTTATTGTATATACATGAAATACTTGGCGTTAGTTTATTATGACGATTAAAGCGCCTAATAAACTATATATAAAGTTGGAACTTGCACCTAATAATATTAATTTAATTATCCCTCTTAAGTCGTACCCATACCACATTCGCATCTCTTTTATGTTTTATCAACAAAAAAAATAAATAAAATTATAATAACGTTACCAGCAATAAATGACAAAATATAAAACATACTAAAATTAAACTAAGAATGTGTTGATTCGTGTTTGTTATATAGCAATCATGTTAACAAAATGTCCCTGTTAAACCCTTTTTAATTATGTATGTAAAGCATTTTTTGTTAAGGTATAAATAGGACCATATATAAAACTGTAAACATCAATTAAAAAACTTTTTATTCTTTATTGGATTTTTCCCTGTAGCACAAAGTTTTGTATTTATTTAGTAATTTAAAACATATCAAAATTACGAAAAGCATGTCAAACAAAAAAAAATAGCCCACCTAATTGTTCAATATCAATTTGGAGGTGACCAAATTATTGCTTATTTAAAAATTTATGTACTTCTCAAATTATACATTGTGCCCAGTATAATGACGGTATATGAAAAGTTGGATTTTGTTTTTTTATCTGTAAAGCCCAAAATATTGCAAACATGCTCTGGCAGTGGTACATTATTAGAACACTTTTTAAGAAGAATATAATGGGGGATAGAATTGATGTATCCTATGATGCATTGATCCTCATTCTTAGGGTCGCAAAAGCAAAATTTCTTTGTTTTTCATAGTAGGCCAAGAACGCGCTCAACCGATAGTTGAAAAACAAAAGTTTTGGCAGTTCATTGATCACATACAGTGAAATAGTATTAAATTTAATGTATACTTAAAATTGAAAAGTCGATAACTTATAATAAAATTTCTTTAATTATCATTGGAATAACTTGGAATTATTTACTAATAACATTGTAGGGTCTCTAATCACAGATAACAGAACATCATTTTCTCTAATCTTTCAGGGTAGGTGCTTGAATACATCTGCTCAGGTTCTCGGGTATTACTATGAGACTTTAACATGTCGAACTTATTCCCAAAAGAACAATTTCTTTTAATTTTTAAATAAATGTAAAGGCCACATTTTTAATTAACTTCTATTGTAATTGTATTGTACATTGTCAATAAAGGCGTTTGTGGAATACTTTGTCTGTAATAGTAAATTATGCAATAAGTGCGGTAATAGTATATTATGCAACAAGTGCGGTAAACGGCATTTGACTCACGAGTTTATTTGACACGAGCGGAACGAGTTTTTAATAAACGAGTGATTTAAAAAGTTTTCCGAACGTATTGCATACTATACCGTTAGTTTTTGGGTACATTTTGGCAAATCAACACGAATACATTCACTGACATGACCGTGAGAATTGACAAACGTCAATATTCAAGGCGTGGGAAATATCTACGAAAACATCCGATTGCTCCCAAACCCGTGCGGTAAAATCACGGAAATGTCCGAAGTGGCTCGGATCCGTGGGAAACGAAACCGAGGTGTTAAAGTGTCGCTTCCCGAACGGTGTGTAATTAGGCATTTTACAGACGGAAATAGAAAAAAACATTTGTTTTTCGCAATGTCTCTTTGTGATGTCATGTCAATATGTCCTACTACAAAAAAAATGTGACCCTAAGAATGACGGATGAATGATATGATGCATTGTATTATTATTTTTATGCTCTATGTAATAATGAAAATTTAAATATCTATGGTGTATTTCGAAAACCAATAAAACAATACTGTTTACTTATTTGTTATCATATAATATCATCTCCAGATCATGTTTCAACTTTTTATATTTTCTCGAATTTTCTGAGAAACGATTCACGAATCAGTTTCTTTAAAACTTTCCTAAAGAGCTCATCACTTACATTTTTTAAGACCATACCTACCCAACCATGATTGCCATATAAAAAAAAATGGTATTAAATTGTGAAAAAATGGAGAATTATAGAAAAAATCTGAATACGGCACTGCATTTGACTTACAAAAGTTCCTAATAGTTTTCTGGCCCAGTTAGAAATTATCATAAATAAAAACGTAATCGGCAATTTTCCAAAAACTAAAACACGCTATACATCTCGGTTGGAAGAAGATCGTAACTCGATTTTTACAATTAAATATTTGGCACCAATTACGACCACCCTGGACCAAATAAAAAAAGGTAAACTTCGCAAAAAACCGTTTTTCATTCCCAAAACGACACCGTTTCCCTCATCCAGTGAATCTCTTCCCCATAAATCACCGGCGGGGTTGTTCGTCGCCAGGCCCCAAGAACCGCGCGGCAGTAGCGTAGGCCGTGAACCTGCGCGGCGTAAAAACCGTCAACGATCTTTCTCCGCGCCGCAACCATTGGTTGCCATGGGCGTTGCCGGCTCGCGCCATGCGCCGGCCCACCTCCAGGGAGGGGCACGTCTCACCTGGAGACCTCTTTGTCGCTTCTAAGCCTACGAAACGACACGCAGTTTCTTCCCGTTAACGCTGTTTGACTCACACACGCGGCGGATTTTGCTGGCCGGCGGATTGAGTATGCAACTATGCTCGTGCCGCCAGATATGCTAGCAGCGCAATCCAAGATGGTTTACCAGCTCAATAAGTATTACACGGAAAAGGTGCAAGCGAGAAAACTGCAGACCGCCAAAACGATCCAGGAAGTGTGCCGCGTGGTGCAGGACGTGCTCAAGGAGGTGGAAGTGCAAGAGCCGCGGTTTATATCGTCGTTGACGGATTACAACGGCCGATACGACGGACTCGAAGTGGTGACTCCTACGGAGTTCGAGGTGGTGATTTATCTGAACCAGATGGGAGTGTTGAACTTCGTGGATGACGGTACGTTGCCCGGTTGCGCGGTATTGAAACTGAGCGACGGCAGAAAGAGGTCGATGTCGTTGTGGGTCGAGTTCATTACGGCTTCCGGTTACCTTTCCGCGAGGAAAATGCGTTCCCGTTTTCAAACGCTGGTAGCGCAGGCGTGCGATAAATGTTCCTACCGAGATTCGGTGAAAATGATTGCGGACACCACGGAGGTGAAATTAAGGATACGCGAACGTTTCATCGTGCAAATAACGCCGGCATTCAAGTGCACGGGATTGTGGCCCAGGTCGGCGGCCCATTGGCCGTTGCCGCAAATACCGTGGCCGCATCCGAACTTAGTGGTTGAGGTGAAAACCGAGGGCTTCGATCTGTTGTCCAAAGAGTGCATCGCGTTACAGGGCAAGCAATCGGCGATGGAAGGCGACGCTTGGGTGTTATCTTTTCTCGAGGCGGAAAATAGACTTCTGCAAGGCGGTTGCAGGAAGCGTTGCTTGAGCATATTGAAAACGCTGCGTGACCGTCATCTAGATTTGCCGGGAAATCCGGTGACCAGTTACCACATGAAAACTTTGCTGCTGTACGAGTGCGAGAAGCATCCGCGGGAAAGCGAGTGGGACGAGGCTTGCATCGCGGATAGGATCAACGGAATCTTTCTGCAGCTCATATCGTGTTTGCAGTGCAAGAGGTGTCCCCATTACTTCCTACCGAATTTGGATTTGTTTAAGGGCAAATCGGCGGGCGCTTTGGAGAACGCCTCTAAACAAGTGTGGCGATTGACGCGGGAAATGTTGACAAACTCGAGGTGTTTCGAAAAATTATAGAGTTCCTTTGAGAGACTGGGTAAGCGCCGTGCGTTGTTAGAGATTATGGCCTATGTAGAGACCAACCCGCTCAACGCGAGACAAAATATCAACTGACTGTGATTTTTCGTTATGACTGCTTTACGTTGTACGTATACTGTTAATAATATTATTTGTATGGTATTTTTTATATATTTAAATAAACGAGATGATTTTTTTGGTACGTACTTAAGTTCCCGCCAATATTTTTTTCTTTGGTATCGATGCCGACGGAATTTTTGTAGGTTACTGGAATAAACTAGCAAAACTTAATAATGCCTGCCTTTCCTTTCGTACAAAAAATATTCTGACTTAGATAATTTCTTAAATGGTTTTCTACATTTTAATATTAAAGAATGAATAATAAAATTGGTTAGTCTTTAACAACTGATTTTTTAATAAAATAAAGTGACAATATTAAATAAGTAATTGAAAACGGGCAAAAATATCAGCTATTGGATAGTTTTTTCCTTTTCGTTATAAAGATAAATAAAAACATGTTATTTTGACCTTTAATATTAGTTGGGATTCTAATAATATGCATTTTATTTCATAAATTAGCGGTAATTATCTATTAATTAACAATAATAAACAGCGGTAAAGTGGAAATGCCTTAAAATATTTTAGATTTGCTTTAGAATTCTTGAACTTTTATTCGACTGTGGCAATGATATAAAAAAGTCAGATCGTTGCATCCTTTTTTTTTCAGAAACTTATTTTTCTTTGCGATTATATTACAATACGCCATCAAAGGTAAGCAATCACTTATAGCACGCCTCACTTATAGCACAATTAATAGTCTAGGAATAACCCTTTTACTAACTCTCAAGTTTATTAAAATGCGTTGTCTTTTCGCCATGCTATTTATTTCCCCCTTCAGCCACTTATCTTTCAGAAACAAAGTAAAGGACATTAAACAAAAAAGACTCGAATTTGTCTCCGCTTTAAAACTCTAACTATGGATTTTTTTTTATATAGAACAACAATTACGCCTCTGGGGTGGACACGCGAGTAAATATTTTCATTTCTCATTTTGTTGTTTACAATATTGAAAAGTTTTGTAAAGAAAATAAACCAAGAAGATTTTAATATCAATTATCTAGTTATCTACACTTGTGAGACATAAGTATAAAATAGTCGAAACAAGCATAGAAGCTTTTTAACTCTGTCGATAGTTTATCGCGCTGTGGAAACCGACCGTCGAAAAAAAAGCTGGTGATAATGTTCCAATTAGAAGCGCTACAATGATATGCGCACATTATCCAGGTGTTATTAATACGGTGTATTCTCAGGGTTATTAAGTTATCATTATAGCTTTGATATATTTTTTAAATGTGTAATGTCAATAATAGTCATTTGAAATGAATCTAGAACCTAGCGACCAAGTTCAAAGTTTTGACTTGGGAGGTTTAAGAAACGTTCATGTCCCCCATTTTAAAAAAATACGCGATCGATTTGAGTAAAAGTAGGTAGGAGGGATAGAGGGATAGAGAAGCGTTAGTGGTCGCCAACCTCCAATGAAAGGGAGAAGGCACTGGAAGAAGAAGAAGGTATGTTTCCAATACTTGAAATATCAAATGTCACAATAGCAGATTAATACTTTTGAGAAGTTTGCCACTATGCATCAGTTGACAATTTCATGGGAATTTTTATCAGAGCATGTGTAGATACAGAATGCATTTCAGCAAAATACGGAAAATTTTCACCATTGCTTTTTGATGTGTGACTTTTGGCTATGGTTCTTGAAAAAAAAGTTCAGTATTATCCCGTATTAGAGGGTTCAATCTAACAATCATAATGTTCAACCAAACATAAATGTTTGGTTGAACAATTTGATCCAATAATTTGGTCTGACATGAAGGGAATATACTACTAGATTTGAAGAGATAACAGAAGACAGATTATGCTCTTTTTATTGTTCTAAATTAACTAAAATAGATAAAAACTACTGCTACCGAAATCATTTAAGCAGCTGCTGCTCTATTGGCAGAAAATAAAGTCGCCTGGAAATTAAATATCAAATATGAAAAATTCATAAAGCTCGCAGTTCGCAGAGACTTTTGGAAGTCGCTTGGAATGTATCAAACTATATTGACCAATAAGTATGCTAATTGCCTCCTTAGTTAGTGGTAATAATAAAGGAGATTAGAAACGTGTTGGCCACTATACTTTTTCTATGACCAATACTTTTTTATTTTTTTTATACTTGTAACGGTGCCGTCAAAACTGAGAAATGTCAAAATACTAAGCTAAAATAATTATAAATAGTTCAAATTGAAATTTTAATAGCTGATAGCAACATGCAATGTGAAAGAATTTTGGGCTGAGGTCGCTCTCGTCTTTTTTACAGTTGTACTAGATGGCAAACAAAAATAAATCCTGCATTTCACAGGAACTTTAAGGAGTGAAAGTTTTGGTGCGGTGTATTCTGTAAAAGAAAAGTTTGCATCTAACGGTAGCAGAGAAGAAGTAAGAAAATGAATCAATGATCATGCGATCAGTTAAACCATACTCCGCGAGCTATCCGATCGCAATGGGTTTAAAAAACCTTGCTTTTTATTTTTACAAAAATAAATTAATTTTAACAGGTGTGAAAGTTAAGAATAAAGAACATTCAAAAATTATCAATATTATAAGTATAATAACTTAAAAATACACACTAACGTAATTTGACACAAAAAAAATATAAGTATATACTTACATACACTACCTTATGTTGCGTGCTTATCAATAATTCTCAACATTCAACACTGTCCCAAAAATCGTTTCAATTTTATGTTGATATCTACATTTATGTTGTGAAGCACAGCTGCTGCAGGTTTAATTGCAACGGAAGCGTGTATCTCGGTTTGCAAGCCCCACTGAAGCCATAGAAAACTCACGAGATTTAGTGATTTTTAATCTGAATTTTTGTGCCGAATTTGGAAATTTAGATGTTTCGCAAATTACCAGATACAAATCGAAAATTGGAGGTTGTTTAAATCCTAAAGTAACTAATAATTGCAAATTTGCAATTTTTGAATAAACTTGTCCAACATTTTCTAAAGCATCCTCAAGTTCTCTCACTATTCAAGTTTTCTCAATATTCTTCATATAGAATATTACAAAACTGAGCACAAAATCACAGTAAATACAAAAATTTGGTGTTGTTTACTTTTTGACACGTCGAAAAAGAAACAAATATTCATGGTAGGTCTAAAAATTTTAAATGTTTAATGGTGAAGTCCATTTAACATCGCTTTACGTTCGATATGAATTGTAGCCCTTACGGGCGATACGGCGATGGTTCATATCATGCCGGTCGGCGCAACATCATCGCATCTGCGTGTTCCTCTGCAAAGGCCACGCCGGGCTCATCGAGCCGTCCGCTGATTGATTTTCGAAAGCGATGTTTTACACGGCGGCATGTTTGTTCTTCGGAGCACCATTAAATTATTCCCTCCCGCGATCTCTTTGTTGCAACACTCGTATAAATATAACAGGCCGGCGCTCATACGGAGTGAGTTATGGGCATCGGATCGAAGTACACCCCGTAAATTTCGCCTTTTTTTTCTCCACTCTTCTTTACCCTGCCACGGTATTATTTTATAAACGACAAAATGGGATTTGAACTCTCATTTTAAACGTTATGTTATGTTAGGTCGGAAAAAATGCGTCCACTTTCTCCTAAAATACAAATATTGTGTGCTTGATTAATTTTAAACAAAAGAACCGTCGAAGGAGCATCGCTAAAGAGCTGTTAAACGATGTCAATGATGAGTCTGATATGCTCAAGAAGGTCATAACTGGTGTCGAATCACGGGTAAGGGGTTATGACGTGGAAGCCAATGGAAGAATCCAGAATCGCCAAAACCGAAGAAAGCACGTCAAGTTCGATCAAATGTCAAGGTTTTGCTTACCGTTTTCTTTGATTAACTTGGCGTAGTACTTCAAGGGTTCTTACCAGAAGGTCGTACGGTCAATAAAGTTGCCGTTTACGGTAGGCAATACGAAGAAAACGTCCAGAATTGTGCGAAAATAATTCATGGATTTTGCAACACGATAATATACCTGCTCACTGATCGTTGTTTGTGTCTAACTAACGGATATGTGCCCCTGCGACTTTTTCCTGTTTTCAAAACTTAAGAAACCCATGAAAGGAAGGACGTTTCCAACGATTAAGGAGATAATGAAAAAATTTCTGGCAGAACTCAAGGCTATACTAGAAAGTGTTTATCAGAAGTGCTTCGAGGATTGGAAAAAACATTGGCACAAGTGTATATATATTACTTTGAAGGCGACATTCATTTTGATAAATAAATAAATACTTCTTGATAAAACTTAAAAGTCATCTTACTTTTTAAACGCACCTCGTATGTACAAATATTATTAAAATTTCTAAATAATTGCAATTGAATGCAGAATTAACCACACCAGCAGACAGCATAAAATATTTGAGAACGTATTTTGATAAATTATTGAAATGCACTGAAAATACAGAAATAAAAATAAATGTTAATTACTGATGTTCTTAAAAGTCTGGGAAACGTTGGTTCAATTGTCTCTGGACTACATCTTCCTTTACTAAGTTCACCAAGTTTTAGTAACGTATTCAATGCAAAATACGATGCACACTTTTATAGTGCACCCAAACTGAATAAGGTACAATACAACACACACAAACACAAACAATTAAAATCCAAAGGGATATTTCGACAAAAAATCAGACCATTGGCTGTCTATGCTCATTAGCTGAACAAGCAACTTTTAACAAAACAATGACCTAGACCAAGCGCGCATACTATGAGTTGGCTCACACATCTATTTTACCTAAACCGATCGCAGATCTCATATTGTTCAGTATTTTCAAAACCCCTAGTATTTGATCCAATTATCGTTATAGTACCATTATATTTTTCATTACCCGAAGACTATCGGTCTACTTCTGGTCTATCATCAACTCGTTTAAAATTTCATCATCTATTCAGTTCAATGATGAAACTTTTGGTACGTCAACATAATCTCAACGAACCATAAAAAAAAATGAAATAGTGATAGTAATATAGTACCTACATATCACACAGTTCCAAAATGTTATAAAACCAATTAATTCTGATCCAAGGTTCTACCTTAAAGTTAGGTACTTATATGTATATAATTTGCTTTTTCCGTAACTTATTTCTACAGTGTATAATTACAGTCATTTCTATAGGTCAAATTTTTATTGGATTTATTATTTAACTTT